TATGAGTTATTAAACGGAGATAGACTTACCCTTGAAGTAACCAAATCCTTCTTCTCTTTATATATGTATAAAGCGAGAGAGATATGAGATCAAATGACTCTAAGAATAACTTTTAGTAAAGTTACTCAACTGAATAACACATATTATATATTTTATTTTAATGATCTAAACGTAAATTAAAAATTCTTAATGTATCAACATAAAAGAAATTTTAAATAACTTAATAATAGTAATAATTAGATTTTTAAAAAATCTTGAACTAATTTATTTAATAAATAAAAGTGGCTTCGCTTATGCTTAATGTGAGCTTGATAAATAAGCTGCCAACAATCAGTATGATGTATTTGAATTTTTTTATTAATATGGATTTGATTAAGATTATTAAAAAAGATTACATGGCTACTTAAACCTAGATTTATAATTAAAGGGCTCTCCAAAGGTTCTTTATAAGGTATTATATAGAGTAAGAAAGAACGATAAATATTATGGTTGAAGATCAATCTTGTTATCTATCAATTACCTTATACTCATATGTGAGATAATTCACTCATTCCTTACCTCCATAAACGACTGATAAATTACGATAACAAAAATTTTCAGAAGTTTTTTTTTTATTTTTTATTTATTTATTTTTTTTATTTTACAGTTTTGGTGTTCTCTTCAAAAGTCAATGTATTTTCTTAGAAAAGAAAAACATGTAGTGAAATAGATAATTTAATCCCTCAAAACTTTCCTTTAGTAAAATTATCACCCTTGAGTTAAAGAAATTAATCTATCTCTTTCTTTTTTTATTTATAAATTAGTAGATAAAAGATGACACTCATTAATAGATAAATAAGAAATGACATTAGAAATTCTTAGATTAAACACTATTGTCTACTTAGTAATTCAGTAATATTTGATTTAATTAATTCATGATTTTTATTAATTAAAGTGTCATAATTAAAATAACATAACTCCTAAAATAAATATTATATTTGATAATTAATATTTTCACAAATTCTTCATAATTTTAATAAAACATCGAATTAATTTTCAAAATACTTATCATTAGTAGTAGTATTATTAAAATTTCCTCATTTTAATAAAATTATTTTTAATTATTTTTCAAATTTTACTTATTTTAATTATTTTTTAAAAATCAAAGCGTTACATCATTGTTATATTATTTTATAATTATATAATTAATATAAACTATTTACTAATATAAACTATTTACTAATAAAATTAGTAACTAGTAGTTGAGTGGAGGAAAGTTGGAGTAATTAGAAACTAAATTAAATTCAATTTTCATTATGATTATCTTTGTAATCTTTCTTATCTTTACCAAAAAAAAAATTAACAATGGTGGCATGTCACCAAGAAATTTGCAGTGACTAACAAATAGAACTTTGCAATTTGATTTTAAGATTCTAGTTGAGCATTAAAGTTCACGAGTAAGAGAATAGAGGGAGAATCAAATCAATGTTTATATATATATATATATATATAAGAAGAGATTCATTTATTTAAGGAGTAAGTCTACTTAGACTTACTCTATTTAATAATTTATATTTTACATTAAATTTTAATGATTCAACCATTGAATTTAAAGTTCTTAATGCATAAATTAAGTCTATAATTTTTTTTAAAATTTAAAAACCATTTGATACTTTATTTTATTAATTCAAATCAACGTAAAAAAAATGATTTTATGATTATTAGTCAATTTGAATTAATGAAATGAAGTATCAAATGATTTTCAAAATTTTTAAAAACTTGCAAATGTGATCTATGCATTAAAAACTTTAAATTTAATGGTTGAAATGTTGAAATTTTGCTCACTAGTCACACCCATGATGTTATCTAAAAGTTACAAATTTTGATTGTTTGAACCTCTTGGCTTGTCTCATCATCCAATTTTACTAAAATTCACCATTCAATTGGTAGAGTTATAGATTAAAAGTCTAAAACCACTCTATTAAGACACTAATTTCTCAAATCAAACACTAATTCACATACATCATTTAAGTAACATTAATCTTCACCTGCTCTATAGATCAAGGTTTTCTACAAGCACTCATAGATTCTTAAATAATCAAAATCAACACAATTCATGTCATATATAATATAAAGATCATCCACAAAGCCCATACGAAACACAGATTCTCATCTTACAAATTATAACTATGAATTCTCCTAAGAATATAAAAGAATAAACAATAGGGTTAGGGCCAACCCTGCTACCCCTACTCAATAAATAAACCACACCTCTTACCTCGATAAACATTAGACAAAGCACAAGGATATTCGAAATGAGCTCTAACAACCTTAATGTTTTCCCCGAGAAGTTCTTGAGTTAGAGAGAAAAGAGAAAGCATAGGTTAAAAGAAGTGTACAATTGACGTGTTTTCTCCATAACCCTCTTTTATAAGCATGAGAGGTGACACTAAGTGCAATACTCACAAAGGGCACAATTAGTCTGATGCTAAGCAAAACCAAGTTCTCACTAAGCATGAGAGCTATAAGGGGTCCAAGTGAAATTGGCACTAAGCTTGGGAGCTTTAAAGAGAACCCTTTGATCTTTGTTCTCTAAACACTAAGTGTGAGAGCACTAAAAATAAATCCTTTCTCTTTGGCTTCTTGACACTAAGTGTGGAGTTGTTTATTATAAGCAAGAAAAAATTATAAAATGTTATTATTTTAATGCTTGTAATCATGTATGTTTGAATTTTTGTAAAATTCCAAAGAATGTATATGCGGTGTATGAGTAATATGATATGTGATATATTGTTGAATGTTCTAAGATGTGATATGTGAAGGCCTATCTCAGTGAGGTAGATCTACCATGAGAAATAATTGTGAAACCATGTGTATTTGTATGTTTCATGCATCATAAACATGAAAAATATGAGCTTTTGAGTACACATATGAGTATGATTAAGGAAAACATTAAGGATGTTTGGGTCCTAATCTTAGGAGGTACTTGGTGTGAGATCTTTGTGTGGTATATGCTAATCTCATTGGCTTATATAGTTTTCCCAAACATTCTCTTTGCTTATTTGACAACATTTGTATCATATGGACAAACAATATTGTCATATAATTAATTTCATTATGTTTTAACATACATAAGTTTTCTATTAGAAAACCTATGCTCTCTCTTTTTTTCTTTTGTAGTAATTTATATATTTCAAATTACTATGAAAATACATCAAAATGATAATAATACAAAAAGAAAATGGTGGTAAAACCAACAATGGTAAAGTTGCAAAATTAACTCGTTGAGATAGTAGTAGTTGTCATTGTCTTTCCTCTAACACTAAAAGACAACGGACTTATTGTATCTTTAGGCAACACTTGCATGAACGGGTCTAGTACAATAATTTTATCCACTCAACATCGTTCTATCAATGATTATAAATAGAAGATCATTGAAGATGAAGAGATTATGATTGTTCAACCTCTATGAATAAAATTTCAAAAAAAATGTTTTGTCTAAATCTTGAAGAAGTTTTAATCCTATGAAGTAAGTATTTAAATTTAGGTTCTATTCCAAAAAATTAAAATTAAAATGTTTGAAAAACGATGTCTAAAGACACACAGACCTTGTTTGGATACACATTATAAATATCTTCAAAAGTTTTTCTATTAAAAATAAGTCTCTTTCACATGCACTCCCTTGTCTTCTCCCACTTCTCGCCTAATTTTGTAAATAGTTTTAATTCTTTCAGTTTTAACATTACTCTCTTCTCCCTCACCTCTTTCAGTTTTTACATGCACCCAGATCATAGAATTGGTGTGTGACAACATTGTAAGTACGTGTGACTTCCTCAATAGTTTCGAAGGTGTCAAGCCAAACATGCATTTTTTCTTCGAACACTTCCCCCCCACCTTTCACACTTCCAAAATCTTTAACATTAAATTGCTTTTTAGAAAGTATTTTCACAAACATTAATTTCAATATTCTAGAAAGTACTTTCCAAAATAGTGAAATTAGTATTTTAAAAAGTATTTTCTAGAATTGTATTTTTTACATACTTTTAGAAAGTACTTTTTGGAATAGCAAATTTAATATTTTGAAAAGAACTTTATGAAATTATGTAAAATAACACATTTATGAAAAAATACTTTTCAGAACACTAATTTTAGTGTTCTAAAAAGTACTTTCTTGAATATTAAAATTAGTTTTTCAGAAAGTACTTTTCAAAAGTTTGCTATTTTACATAATTTTAAAAAAATTCTTTTCAAAATAGTAAATTTAGTGTTTCATAAAGTACTTTTTGGAAGTATATTAAAAACACAATTTTGAAAACACTAATTTCACTATTCTAAAAAGTACTTTTCAGAACACTTAATTATTCAGAATACTATTTTTAATGTTGTGATTTCTAAACGTGCTTTCTAGACGTGTAAATGATCAGAAATTCTTAGAAAAAACAGAAAGTATATTTGGCTTGACCCTTTCGATACTGTCGAGAAAGTCACACTTGCCTATAATACTTCAATTCTACATCCCGAGTGCATGTAAAAACTAAAAAAGAGGAAAGAAAAGGTAATAGTGTAAAAATTAAAAGGAAAGAGGGGAATAAAGTAATATAAAAATTAAAAGAATTAAAACTACTTACTGAAATAGGTGGAGAGTGAGAAGAAAACAAACAGATGTATGTAAAATTGAAAAGAGAAGGGAAGGTGTATGGAATAAAGAGAGAGAGAGCTAAATTAAATGTTGGATGTATAAAATTAAAAATTAAAAATATTTTAAAAATTTATTTATTTAAAAGAAAAAAGAAAAAAAAAAAAAAAGAGGTATACCTATAGAAATAAAAGAGGTATATATGTGTGTGAGCCTAGGATAAGAAATGGGCCATTCACAGTTGGAACTCTACTGATCTCTAAGGTCCAACGGAACTCCTCGGGTCGGGTCAATCACAACCCATCCCAACACATTTTATTATTATTATTATTATTATTATTACAAATTTATGACGAAGTTGATGATGAAATAAGAAAACTAGAAAAGTGAAAAAGCGTCCATAACGTTCCCACCTCACATTCTGAACGAGCTTCAATGGCAGCCTCATCTTCCTTCTCTACCCTCTTCTCCTTCCTCCTCCCCCCGAAGCCGCACGCTCCTTCCTCCACGCGCTTCGCGCTTCTCAGGCCCAAAGCGCGGGCCCAAGAGGAGGAGCTCTCGGCAGAGTTATCCGCTGTGACGAACCCGTCTCACGCGCACGCCAACACGCTCTTCTTCCGGTCGGCGTACAACGTGCAGGTGGTGGTGGACGAGAACGAGCCCGAGGAGCGGCTGCTCAACCGCTTCCGGAGAGAGGTCATGAAAGCCGGCGTCATCCAAGAGTGCAAGAGGAGACGCTTCTTCGAGAACAAGCAGGAGGAGAAGAAGCGCAAGAACCGCGAAGCTGCCAAGCGTAAAAGCAGGAGCAGGTTTACTTCATTGCAATAACCATTTCAAATTCTCCAACTGTGTAACCTTATCACGTTAGTTTCTGAAATTAAGAGCATCTACAACGGGATTGCTTATAAGCAACCCCTGTGCCATCACTGACACATCACCTCTGTCCCACTTTATGGGTTGCTTAAATTTTAGCAAAGTTGCTTGTAGAAGTAAATTTGCTAAAATTTAAGCAACCCATAAAATGGGCCAGAGCTGATGTGGTAGTGATGTGGTACAAGAAGTTGCTTATAAGTAACCCATGCTATAAGAAAATTCTAAATAAATAGCTAAAGCTGTAGTTAAGTCAGTTATATTAGTCCGAATTTTGTGAAAATGTGACTTGTGTTGATATATGTTTAGAGAGAAAATGACAATTGATGGATAAGGTGTAAACATTCATTTTGGTCTTTGAATTTAGAAAATGTTATTGAATTATTCTCCAAACTAGGAGATTGTAAAGTAAGTTTTTGAAAGTGTAAATCGACAATTATATTAGTTTCAAATTTGATAAAATGTGTGATTAAAATGATAATATTTATATAAATTCTGGGACTGTAAGTAGTTAAATTTAAGGATTTATTTGACAATTTATTAGTTTCAAGAGCTAATATAACAATGCCTTCTAAATTAAGGATCAAGGTTAATGTTTTTACTCGGCGTGACTGTTAAGTATAGGGATTTAGATGAAACAATTGAAAATTTCATGAACTTATTTTCAATTTGAGTCGACCAACACCCATTTTAATTCCCGAGTTTGGAATATTATATTAGTCTTTAAGACTAAGAAATTATAAATAAATTTATAGAATGTTAAATAAGTCCTTAAACCCAACAATTTGATGTTGTTTTATTTCTGAATATATATTAATATTATTACTTTAGTCTCATTTTTTATTTATTAATTTTTGAATTAATTTGATTGTCAATTTGCACTTTCAAGGACTATTTAACAATTTCTTAATTTCATAAAACAGGGCTTTCTAGATTAAAAGATCAAAGTGAATATTTACTCTTTAAATTTTTCGTAATTTCATGACTAATGTGATAATGTGCAATATTTTTAGGTGTGAAAAATGGTAATTTACTCTTTAATTTTTAGTTGATATTGTAAGTAGAGTTTAATCTGTACTCCATGTCCACGTTACAACTTTTAAAAATTAAAATAGATATTATAAAACTTACCAAATTTATTATATATAGTGTTTTATTATTGAATTATATGCTCTTAAAAATGTCACCTTATTGCAGGTAAGTCGCTAATGTAGTTCATTTGGTAATGTCTCAAAACTTAAGGAGTGTTTGGTCCAGTTATTTTCAATTTCTATTCTCCTTAAAAATATAAATTTCTTTGATTGAGTTCTAAGGAAACACCATTTTTGGGCTTTTGTTCGTTAAAGAGAAAACATAAACATGTTTATCATTTTTGTAAGGTGAGTACTGAAAAGATAGTAGTAATGCACTCATGGTTGAAATTGCAATCTAGGATGCATTGTAAGGTTGCTATAAAGCTTCCCACTTCCCCCACCATTGTAACCTTGCTATAGTTCCCTTGAGAAAGATTACTTAATATTTGTCTTTTTTGCATCATTTTCAGGCGTCCTCAATCGAGGTTTCAGGTGCAAAACAAGCAAGATGTTGCACCAACCAAGAAGGAAGAGGATGATGACAACTGGGATCTTCCAGAAGTAGACGCTCCATATATTTCAACCGCATGATCCACTTACATTCTGTGCGATTCTTCACATTTTATTGTGAGAGGCGTTTTATGCATGTGAGTTCTGTTAAGTAAAATCACTTCCTTGAACGCAGTTAGTGTATTGTTCAATTCACATTTCTAAGTTATGCAATTCATTCATTTGTGCAACAAAATTTTATTCTGCCCTTGATTTTCTGAAATCTTGCAGCAGTATGTGTTTTTATCTCCCCTCTTGCACCAATTTACAGTCTCTTTATTATGAAGTTGAATTTACCAGTCAACTAAAAGATACTTGTCAGATAAGAAAAGTATGTAAGAGTAGTATGTGAGGAGAATTTGTTTAAGTGAAAATTTCTATTCATTGGACACTGAAACATTCTTGGTATTGAATTCCCTAGTATAGCATCTTCAGAATGAGAGCGGTTGGCCAGGTTAGAAAGGTCTGTTGTACTAAACTTTGCTTTTGTTTGAAATTTGGAGTGCATCAATCCCATACTTGTAACTACCAATGCCATTTGACGCAGTAGTCCTTAATTTCTTAGCCTTTTCTATGGTGTTTGTTTTTTCAATGTCTATAGTCTTTGTCATGCTTGGCTTTATCATCAACTTGAGCTGGAGATGTATTCAAGTTATTGAGGACATTGGACACTAACTATTGGGAAGTTAGGTTACTTCTCTGGCGAGGTTACTGAATTCCTTGACCTGACTGGAACAAGACTGAATACTGGTTAGACACAGGGTATTCAAGCTGATACTGAAAAACTTGTGAAGAAGCAATGCGTGGTGTGAAAATTTGGCTTGTTTTTAGTGAAAATAATAATGGGCATTTTAATTGGAAAGGTGACAACCTGTTTCATTCATGGTCTGGATCAATTGTTTGAAGTTTAACTGATTTGTATCTAAGGTAAAAAAAAAGTTGGAAGAAATAGGATAACTAGTTATGAAATAGCCAGTCAAGACTTCTTGATATTTCATTAAGGTGGGAGATTTCATCATTTCTATCACTGAAATGCAAAAGAAAATTATCTAAACTAAATATTGCTGATAAATGTTTTTCTTACGAGTGTCATTTTCCTTCCCCAGCTCATCCATTACAAATTATCAAAGCAGATGTTTACCATGTTACTAAAGTAATATTTGGCTTAGCCTTATTGGACTTCTCTCCTTAAAATCAACGTTATAAAAACCAATATTATCATTGAAGTAGTCTAGGCAATGATTTAATGATTTAGTAATCACTTATTAAATTGGTTAAACTGATCTATATTAAAAAATTTAAGATATTCGATACTCTAAATTTAAATTATTGTCATATTAAATAACATTGACAAATATTATGTAAAAACTTCAAATTTAAAATCACAAGTTCATAATAATACAATTTCATGCTTTAAATTTAAAAAGCATTGTCATTATAAAGTATTCAACATCTAAAACAACAATTAAATTAAAGTTTATAAACAATTAAATTAATGTTAATGACAACTCCATAAGTTCAAAAATCAAAATATAAATAGCATCAACACTCAAAAAATTTATGTCCAAATTACCAGCACTTCAAAGTGCAATTTTTACAGAGTTCAAACGGCACTTTTAAGAAAGAAAAAAAATTGAATAAAAAAGTTTTTTATTTTATTTTGGAAAAAAAATTTGTAAACTGGAGCAATATAAACACCGATTCTAAGACTGGTCAGTCCGATCTGGTTTTCACAAAACCGTTTAAAAGTAGTTTATGTAATTAACTTGTGTTCATCAGTAAAAGTTATTTTTATTTGAAGAGCTTTACAAAAGGCTAACCAAAAATAATAAAACTTGTTCACGCTCCCTAAGACATAGGCATTTAAGTTGCAGAAAGAGTAACATATCAGCTCAGCCAAACTGCAAGATTGGATGAGGAGGGAGAGATCTGCATGTGCTTTTTTATAATATTAATTCTTTCTAAACACTTAAGAACTGTTCAAGACTGATTATAATTTCTTCTGGGGCACTTCACTGGCCACCTCAAAGCCATTCCATCCAAAGCATTGTCCCCTGATGCCCTGTTTTTGAACCGGATCCAATCATCAAGAACAATCCTCAGGTCATGAACTTTGCTTTTGAGATCATCACAACAGTTAGCTTGAATGGTATAAGCCTCCCTTAACATATCCTTATTCAGCTCACAAAAGCCACCAAAATAGGTTGTATTTACAAGCTGAACACGAAAGGAATACGCTTCTACTGCATCTGGCCATTGTTGTATTGTTGTACACAAGGACTCTTGTATGGGATCTTTCGGAAACAGAACCTTGATCAATTTCCAATGCTTGAAGAATTCAAAGGAAATGGCGTTTGCTTTCAAGAAGAAGATTCCCCCATCATACAGGTAATCTCCTCTTTGTCCATCATTCAAGTTATTACATGAAATTGTGAGTTCCTTAATTGGATTTAAGTTTATAAGTGGACTCCTAAGCCACAGTACATCTGCATCCTGCAAAATAGAAGTCACGTACGATTCAAGTTAATTAATAACTTTTCATCCATCTTTTTCTACTTCAAGTTTAAGAAATTTTAACAACATACTCTTCTCTATTTTAGCTGAAATTTATTGAGACTCATATCACTTCTTGCTTAAAGAATCTCACTCATATATTGGCTGAGTCCTAATAAATTTGAAGTCGATAATAGCATATCAGAGCCAATAGCCATACCGTGAAAACTATGCTGTAACCCAATCGAACCACTTCATACAAAACATCGTTTCTTGTCCAAGTGAATAAACTGTGAACTGGGGTTGGCACAATGGATTGTTTTTTGGTGGCAAAATGATGTGGAAAGATGGAGGGGTGGATGCAATAGGGGTGAATGGACCTGCAGTACTCAAAAGCTTGGGGGTCCATGGTTATGATCACCAAGTGATTCAGCAATCTTTGGGTCCCTTCACCTGATTTGAAGCTTTGTAGTAAAATGTCAAGGACAGATCCAGGGCCTGCCAATGATTCATCTACCATGGTTAGGATGACTGTTTTATCTGGCATGGTAGCACTCCTCAGCACATTGTCCAAGTCTTGAGTTTTGGAGTAATACTGAAAGGGGAGCAATGGTGTATTAACTCAGAACTCAAAATCAATTTGAAAATTTAGTAAATATAAGCTCTCATTTAATATCCCAGGAATCAATTTTGACCAATGTGTTTCACTTTTTTAAAAAAAAATTTATTTAATTTAATTAAAAGTTAAATTTCTCCACTTAACATCAAGCATAACAAAATATTTACAAATTATCAAAAAGCTAATTTTCTATCTATTAGATTAATTTTGAATTTTTAAATTAAAAATGTTAAATGCTTATATTTTTTACATTTCCATTTAACTTGTTATTATGAAAACAATAATATTAATCAATCAAGTTATTTTTAATTTACAATGTTTATATTTTATGTATTTAAAAATAAAATTTAATTAGAATACAGTCATAATATAATTTTTTATGCTATCATTCAATCACATATTGTCATGCTGCTGATTATAATAACTTTTATAATAACTACTTTAAAAAACATTTATAATAATTTCTGATTCATTCACTTGAACTCTTATGAATATCCTTTAAAATTACTTGGTTGATAGATGCAGCAAAAAGGATTAATTTTTAAGTCTTATTTGAATTTACACAACAAAGGCACTCTGGCCTGGTAGACTAAAAAAAGCTGTGACAAATCGCAGGACATACAATAATAACCAAGGGATAATTGGTTATTCTGCATTTACAACAAAAAAATGTCATTTTCTCCTCAAATATGCTGTTGAACTGGAACTGTATATATGTTTAAAATGGAAAATGGTAAACTTACATGCACAGGAATATAACACTAATACCGTTTCACCTAAAAATTTCACTCATCAACATTTTTGTCCTAATCAAATAAAGCTTCAATTTTTTATTCTACATCACAATTATCCTTTTGGAATAAAGACTTGAGAACATCCATAACATGATAAAATTAAGTGTTTCAGAAAACAATTTTTCAATTCACAAAACTCAAATATGAAAAAAGTTAAGACATATAAAGCTGTGGTACTTACACATGCAATGGTGATGCTAATTAACAGAACCCAAATTAAAAAGAATGTAAAGAATGCTTACAGTTGGTGTAGGCATGAACAGAACCACCTTTTTGACACCCTTTTGAAGTGATGTAGGGCAATGATACAGAAGGAAGCATAGCAGCACAATCAAGAAAGCTAAGAGAGTAAGATACAGAGACTGACTCAATCTCAAAGCTCTCATCCTTCCAAATGCAAATGATGAGTTATGGCCTTTCCTTTAGGCCTAACTTAATCTCAACTTGAAAGTTAGGCCTTATGTTTATTTAAGGGCTAGTGACAAAGAAACCAATGTGTTGAGAGAAGAGAAGAGCCCTTTGCACTGAATCAGAGAAATCTGACAAAAGCATAATATAGAAATCATGTATATTGAAATGAATTGACTTTTAAAGCAGGTTGAATGAATTGAATAGGGAACAGAAAAGAAAAAAATTTAATGCTCACATATTATATACAGCACCCAATTAAACACTGACTGTTGCATGCCTACAAGCGAAATCTGATATGCTTTTGAAGATTGAATATATTATGGTAACTTTTGTTGACTGTGTGACCAGATGTAAATGAATGTAATGGATGTGTGTGATTCCTATGATCCTATCCTCATGACCCCTAAAAAACTATGATTACCAATCAGGATCTTTACCATTTAATCAGAGAAACACTAACTCCTTTCTCCTTTGGACTATTTCTGCATTTTTTATACACAGTAATAAAGAATAATGCTCTCTCTCTATCTTTATAAGAAATATTTAATTATGAAAGAGAAAAAAAGTATATATATATATATATATATATA